ACTGCCAGACCAAACCTGCTGGTGAACTGAGCCATTGCAGGATGGGTTGGGACAGGTCTGCATTATCCCAGGGTTTTGACATGACAGCTTTATGCCATTTCTCTCTCTTTACGACTCTAACACCCGTGAAATGTGGTGGCCAAGCAGAGAACCATCACAGTAGTAACGTGCTGCATTTCTCTAGCACCCTATCCCTTCACAAACACAGTCAGCCGCCACAGCTCCGCCCTTTCCCGGCAGCAAGAACCATTATCTCCTTTGTACAGATGGGAAACTGAGGCACAGGGGAGGGCAATGCCTTCAAACCTGGCTGCCTAGATTGGTTCCCTTCCTTGTGAACTCTCCTCCGCGACACCCCTGGGGGCTGCAGGTGCTCAGCTCACATTGAGGTGATGTGCTATTGATTTAGTGCCTGACTTTGGACTCCAAAGTGAAAATGGCCGTGTTCAAAGTTGCATGGGTTTAAAACCTGACATAATGAAACAAGAGTTGCAAAGCCCTGTGTTGACGCTCTTAATTCAGTTTTAGCCTGGCTTATCTTGATTTGGAGTCAGGCCCGCCAACAGCAATTCCAGGCCTCAGGGCAGGTGCTGCACTGCTGGGCATGCTCCTCCAGCACAGCCAGGGCTTCCACATGCCTGCCCGGCTGCCTTCACCACTGCCCTTACCACCCCATGCAATTTAAAAGGGCCCGGGGCTCCTGGCCACCAGCACCAGGGCAGCGGTGGCGGCCAGGGGCCCCAGGCCCTTTTAAATCGCCCGGGTCCCTGGGCAATTGCCCCCTTTTCCTCTCCCCCCCCCCCCCGGCTCCCGCATTGGTGGGCCTGTTTGGAGTTAAGCTAAATCAATACAGGCTAAATTAAATTGATGGAGAGTTCACACAGGGTTTGCTCTGCTTTAACTGAATGGGTTTAAGATATGAGCTTTTAGTGAAATTGGTGCAACTGTGAATTCAAGGTCCAATAGTGGGTCAGGGCAGAGCCAGGATAAACTACAGGGCCTGGATCTTCTTCCCTGCCCCTTCTGCAGTCACTAGCACCAGTGCAAAGTGAGCATAAAACGCTGGTAGATCAGGAGGATCACTTTGCACTGGTGGAAATGACAAACCAGCTGGACGCGGCAATCCCAGGGAGGGTCTCTGGCCTGTGCCAGAGGTGAGACTGGATGATCACAATGCTTCCTTCTAGTCTTAACCTCGTTGGCACAAGGAAGGTGCAGAGCAGTGAGGATCAGGCCACTGGGTCTCCTGTGTTTGAACCAGCAGATCCTCCTGCCTCCCTGAGACAGGGCAGGGCTCAGTCTCCAAAGTCCATGATTTGGCCTATTTTCTGCCTGCTGGTTTAATCCCTTCCTGGAGCTGCTCTCACTGCGGAGAGGGGGTGGATTTATGTTGAGCCCCATGTGTTCTGTGGGAGATTCAAGTGCATGCTCGAGCTTCTGCAGTGGAATCACTTTTCACTGAACAATTTCACTGGAGCTGGAAGGTCAGTGACCAGAACTGGAATCTGCCCATGCCAGAGGAGTCCTCTTTGAGCACTAGAAAACCGGGGATCATTACCACTGGTTGATGGGAATTTGAAGTACCCAGCAGCATGGTCAAATCCTGCTCTTACTGGCCTCAGTGCAATGATAGATTTACTCAGGTGGTGCTTTGGCCCATGTAGCTTATCCTACCTGCCCAGACCAGTGGAAATTACATGGTGCTTTAACTGCAGTCTATAGGTCCCTACTTGGGGATTCTTTAATCTCACAGTCAAAGGCATGATGGGATTCAATGGCTGGGTGGTGAAGGCAGTCAAGTGCAAACTGGAAACAGGAAAGGTTTGTAGCAAAGGGTGATTAGCTACTGGATCAAACTAGCATGGGCTGTAGCAAAATCTCCATCACTTGCAGTCCTTAACTCCCGACCAGCTGTCCCTTTCTAAATGCTTTGCTCTAGCTCAAAGCACAGGTTCTGGGCTGGATGCTGGATCCTTGGGGATGACCTATGGCCGGTGCTATGCCAGAGGTTAAACGGGATGATCTTAGTAGGCCTTTCTGTCAATGACTCTATGACTCACAGCCTGCATCATCTGCTATGAAAATCCTAGTAAACATATTAAGCCTTACTGTTTTACCCTGGTCACTGTTTTAGTGTTCCTATGCCCTCCTTGAATACTCATGATGCCTGGCATAATGTCCCTTTCAGTGGTTGTTTCACTGTTTTAGTGGACTCTACTGAAAGTGACTACAGCATGTTTATAGAGTCCTAATCCAGAGGAACCTTACGTAACCATTCATGGCCCCACAGAGCCAGACCCCCCTTCTCAACAATATACAAGTCTAAAAAAATGCTGCTTATTGTTATACTCCAGATTTACTTGCATCACTCCGGTTGGCACTATTTTTCCTCCCACATATTTTTAGTAATATCAGTGGCCCCTTCAGTTTGGTATTTAGAAAAGTTTTTTCATATTCCGAACGTGAGATAACGGACATGGCAGAGCTAGCATTCAATTCCATGCTGAGCATTTGCCCAGCACGCAGAGTTTCAACCAGATTGCTGACTTGTCATTTTTGCTCACCCTATATACATCCAGGCTGGCCACTCCACTCTCACAGTCTGTGTCACTACTGCCTCTGGCTACAGAGTGTACATTGATATTCCTTTTTCTGTATTCTGATTGGGTCTCTTCCTTAATTCTCTTAGGGTATGACTACACTACAAAATTAGGTCGAATTTATAGAAGTCGGTTTTGTAGAACGCGGTTTTATACAGTTGATTGTGTGTGTCCCCACACAAGTGCTCTAAGTGCATGTAGTCGGCGGCGTGTGTCCACAGTACCGAAGCAACTGTTGACTTCCGGAGCGTTGCACCGTGGGTGGCTATCCCACAGTTCCCGCAGTCTCCGCCACCCATCTGAATTCTGGGTAGAAATCCCAGTGCCTGATGGGGCTTAAACACTGTCGTGGGTGGTTCTGGTTACATATCGTCAGGCCCCCGTTCCCTTCCTCCCTCCGTGAAAGCAGGGGCAGACGATCGTTTTGCGCCTTTTTTCTTGAGTTACCTGTGCAGATGCTATACCACAGCAAGCATGGAGCCCGCTCAGCAAACCGTCACCGTATGTCTCCTGGGCGCTGGCAGACGTGGTACTGCATTGCTACACAGCAGAAGTTAATTGCCTTTTGGCAGCAGACAGTGCAGTATGACTAGTAGCTGTCATCGACGTAGTCCTGGGCGCTCTTTTAATCGGGTGCCTGGGCAAACATGGGGGTGACTCAGCCAGGTCATTTCCCTTTTAAGTTTCGTCTCGTGGCAATTCAGTCCTACTGGCAGTGCACTGTCTTTTAACCTCCAGCCAGCAGAAGATGATGGCTAGTCGTCATACTTCACCGTCTTCTGCCGAGCACCCAGGAGATGATGACGGCTAGCGGTCGTACTTCACAGTCTGCTGCCAGAAAGATGTGTAAAGATAGATGAAGTGGCTCAAAACAAGAAATAGACCAGATTTGTTTTGTATTCATTTTCTCCTCCTTCCTTCTGTGAAATCAACGGCCTGCCAAACCCAGTTTTGAGTTCTATCCTTGAGGTTTTGAGTTCTATCCTCGAGGGGGCCATTCAGTTTCTCACAAAGCCACCCCCTTTGTTGATTTTAATTCCCTGTAAGCCAATCCTGTAAGCCATGTCGTCAGTTGCCCCTCCCTCCATCAGGGCAACGGCAGACAATCGTTCCGCGCTTTTTTTCTGTGCAGACGCCATACCACAGCAAGCACGGAGCCTGCTCAGCTCACTTTGGCAATTAGGAGCATATTAAACACTACAAGCATTATCCAGCAGTATATGCAGCACCGGAACCTGGCAAAGCGATACCGGGCGAGAAGGCGACGTCAGCACGGTAACGTGAGTGATGAGGACATGGACACAGACTTCTCTCAAAGCAGGGGCCCTGGCAATGTGGGCATCGTGGTGCTAATGGGCCAGGTTCATGTGGTGGAACGCTGATTCTGGGCTTGGGAAACAAGCACAGACTGGTTGTTTAGTGTTGCAGGTCTGGGACGATTCCCAGTGGTTGCGAAACTTTCGCATGCGTAAGGGCACTTTTATGGAACTTTGTGACTTGCTTTCCCCTGCCCTGAGGTGCAAGAATACCAAGATGAGAGCAGCCCTCACAGTTGAAAAGCGAGTGGTGATAGCCCTGTGGAAGCTTGCAATGCCAGACAGCTACCGGTCAGTCGGGAATCAATTTGGAGTGGGCAAATCTACTGTGGGGGCTGCTGTGATGCAAGTAGCCAATGCAATCAAAGATCTGCTGATATCAAGGGTAGTGACCCTGGGAAATGTGCAGGTCATAGTGGATGGCTTTGCTGCAATGGGATTCCCTAACTGTGGTGGGGCCATAGACGGAACCCATATCCCTATCTTGGCACCAGAGCACCAAGCCGGTGAGTACATAAACTGCAAGGGGTACTTTTCAATAGTGCTGCAAGCACTGGTGGATCACAAGGGATGTTTCACCAACATCAACGTGGAATGGCGGGAAAGGTACATGACGCTCGCATCTTCAGGAACTCTGGTCTGTTTCAAAAGCTGTAAGAAGGGACTTTATTCCCAGACTAGAAAATAACCGTTGGGGACGTTGAAATGCCTATATGTACCCTTGGGGACCCAGCCTACCCCTTAATGCCATGGCTCATGAAGCCATATACAAGCAGCCTGGACAGTAGTCAGGAGCTGTTCAACTACAGGCTGAGCAAGTGCAGAATGGTGGTAGAATGTGCATTTGGACGTTTAAAAGCACGCTGGCGCAGTTTACTGACTCAGACCTCAGCGAAACAAATATTCCCACTGGTTCATAATATCTGTGAGAGTAAGGGGGAGACGTTTATGGCGGGGTGGGAGGTTGAGGCAAATCGCCTGGCTGCTGGTTTCGCACAGCCAGACACCAGGGCAGTTAGAAGAGCACAGGAGGGCACGGTGCGCACCAGAGAAGCTTTGAAAACCAGTTTCATGACTGGCCAGGCTACGGTGTGAAAGTTCTGTTTGTTTCTCCATGATGAAACCCACCGCCCCTTGGTTCACTCTACGTCCCTGTAAGCTAACCACCCTCCCCTCCTCCCTTCGATCACCGCTGTCAGAGGCAATAAAGTCATTGTTGCTTCACATTCATGCATTCTTTATTCATTCATCACACAAATAGGGGGATAACTACCAAGGTAGCCCGGGAGGGGTGGTGGAGGAGAGAAGAACCAGGAGGGGTGGTGGAGGAGGGAAGGACAAGGCCACACAGCACTTTAAAAGTTTAAAACTTTAAAACTTATTGAATGCCAGCCTTCTGTTGCTTGGGCAATCCTCTGGGGTGGAGTGGCCGGAGGCCCCCTCACCGCATTCTTGGGCATCTGGGTGAGGAGGCTATGGAACTTGGGGAGGAGGGTGGTTGGTTACACAGGGGCTGTAGCGGCAGTCTGTGCTCCTGCTGCCTTTCCTGCAGCTCAACCATAGGCTGGAGCATATTGGTTTGATCCTCCAGCAGCCTCAGCATTGAATCCTGCCTCCTCTCATCACGCTGCCACCACATTTGAGCTTCAGCTCTCTCTTCAGCCCTCCAATTACTCTCTTCAGCCTGCCACCTCTCCTCCCGGTCATATTGTGCTTTCCTGCACTCTGACATTGTCTGCCTCCACGCAGTCGTCTGTGCTATGTCAGTATGGGAGGACACCATGAGCTCATAGAACATTTCATCACGAGTGTGTTTTTTTTGCCTTCTAATCTTCACTAGTCTCTGGGAAGGAGAAGATCCTGTGATCATTGAAACACATACAGCTGGTGGAGAAAAAAAAAGAGGCAGTAGTATTTAAAAAGACACATTTTCTAGAACAATGGCTACACTCTTTCACGGTAAACCTTGCTGTTAACATTACATACACAGCACATGTGCATTCGTTCCAAGGTTGCATTTTGCCTCCCCCCACCATGTAGCTAGCCCCTCACCCCTCCTCCCCCGGCTAACAGCGGGGAAAATTTCTGTTCAGCCACAGGCAAACAGCCCAGCAGGAACGGGCACCTCTGAATGTCCCCTTAAGAAAAACACCTTATTTCAACCAGGTGACCATGAATGATATCACTCTCCTGAGGATAACACAGAGAGATACAGAACAGATGTTGTTTGAATGCCAGCAAACATACACTGCAATGCTTTGTTCTACAATGATTCCCGAGTACGTGCTACTGGCCTGGTGTGGTAAAGTGTCCTACCATGGTGGGTGGAATAAGGTTGCCCTCCCCAGAAACCTTTTGCAAACGCTTTGGGAGTACATCCAGGAGAGCTGCAAATGCCAGGGCAAATTAATCATTAAACATGCTTGCTTTTAAACCATAAATAGTATTTTAAAAGGTACACTCACCAGAGGTACCTTCTCCACCTGGCGGGTCCGGGAGGCAGCCTTGGGTGGGTCCAGGACGGACTGCCTCCAGGTCCAGGGTGAGAAACAGTTCCTGGCTGTCAGGTAAACCAGTTTCTCTGCTTGCTTGCTGTGAGCTATCATCTTCCTCGTCCCCAAAACCTGCTTCTGTGTTGCCTCCATCTCCACTGAAGGAGTCAAACAACACGGCTGGGGTCGTGGTGGCTGAACCCCCTAAAATGGCACGCAGCTCATCATAGAAGCGGCATGTTGGGGGCTCTGACCCGGAGCAGCCGTTTGCCTCTCTGGTTTTCTGGTAGGCTTGCCTCAGCTCCTTAAGTTTCACATGGCATTGCTTCGGGTCCCTGTTATAGCCTCTGTCCTTCATCCCCTGGGAGATTTTGACAAATGTTTTGGCATTTCGAAAACTGGAACGGAGTTCTGATAGCATGGATTCCTCTCCCCATACAGCGATCAGATCCCGTACCTCCCATTCGGTCCATGCTGGAGCTCTTTTGCAATTCTGGGACTCCATCATGGTCACCTGTGCTGATGAGCTCTGGCCAGCGTGGCAAGCTGCAGGTGACCATGCAAACAGGAAATTGAAATTCAGAAGTTCGCGGGCCTTTTCCTGTCTACCTGGCCAGTGCATCTAAGTTGCGAGTGCTGTCCAGAGTGGTCACAACAGAGCACTCTGGGATAGCTCTAGGAGGCCAATACCGTCTAATTGTGTCCACAGTACCCCAAATTCGACCCGGCAAGGCCGATTTAAGTGCTAATCCACTTGTCAGAGGTGGATTAAGGAAATCAATTTTAAGAGCCCTTTAAGTCGAAAAAAAGGGCTTCATCGTGTGGATGGGTACAGGTTTACATCGATTTAACGCTGCTAAATTCAACCTAAACTCCTAGTGTAGACCAGGGCTTAGTGCGACAAACTACTTCGATTTGGCTTTTTTTTTTCTTACAGCTGCTACAATCTGCATCTTTGAATTGGCAATCAAAAGAAGCGTGGAACTCTTTTCCGCATGTCTGCCGAGCGGACCGGCTCTTGCTTTGGGTTCCAGAGAGTTTATGAGTTCCTACTTCTGTTTTAGTGCTGGTATGCAAATCTATTGCATCTCTTTCCACAGTTTTCATTGCTACTCCAATTTCTACTGCCCTTTTAAAGGTAAGATTTTCCTCAGTTGAGAGCCTCTTCTGTATGCTTTCATTAAACAGTCCATACACAAATTTGTCTCTTAGGGCCTCATTAAGCACATCCTTAAAAGCACAGTGTTCTGATAATCTTTTTAATGCTGTTGCAAAAGAGGAAACAGATTCACCTTCAAGCTGATTCTGCTTATGAAACCTGAAACTTTCTGCTATAATCAGGGTCTTGGATAACAAGTGCTCTTGAACAATCTGCACGATGTCTTTTAAGGGTTGGCTGGCTGGCTTGTTTGGGGTGATCAGACTGCGAACTAAACTGTAGGTTTTTCCCCATCCCACTCAGTAAAGCTGCTACATGTTTTTCTAGGGAATCTCATTTACTTCAAAATACTGCTCCAGCCTCCATGGCACTCTCGAAGGCCTCCATATGTCCAGTATAGCTGCCATGTCAGCTCTCTGCTGTTAGGTTAGTTGTTCAGAGTGCTCACAGTTGGAGCAGGATCCTCTTTCCCACCAGGACTGCAAGCAATGTCACCCATTGTTTCGCTAGTCAGATGCACAGAGGGTTCTTGAAATCCTCCTCAGCAATTGTTGTGTCTTATTCTCTCTTGCTGCAGATTAAGCCAATTACTTCTTGTCCTACCTTCAGTGTACATGGAAAAGAGGAAATTACTCACTTTGTGCAATAGCAATGGTTCTTCAAGGTGTGTCCCCCTGTGTGTGCTCCCCTGTAAGAGTATCTGTGCCCCTGCGCCTCTAATCAGGGATTTTTGGTAGCAGTGTCCATTGAGACCGCACATGCGCTCTCCTTCCCTCATGGTCTGCTTTGAGGCTAACTGCGCTGCACGGGAAAACTGCCCCCGCTCAGTTCCTTCTCTACCACAGAGCCCTATGGAGAACTCAGGAGAGCTCAGAAGTAGACGAGAGGAGGGCGGTTTGTGGAGCACCCGCAAACTTGGAATGTAGGTAAATACATTGAGTGCTCAACTTTTGGCTGTGGAGCAATATGTCGTTCACCTTGTCAGAGCATTCTGCCTCTAAGCCTTGGAACCAAGAAGGAGCCACGCCTGGAGGTGGAGGTCCCGCAGGTTGCGGTGTTTTGAGAGAGCAGGTGAGGAATGGGCCAAAGAGGAACCGGAGGACATACTGCCATCTGTGTCAGGTAAGGGAACCAGACTCGTCTTGGCCTGGCCATAAGGGGCAATCAGAATAATTCTCACTTTGTCTCGTTGAATTTTCAACAGGACCTTGGATAGAAGAGGAAAATGGAAAAAGGCATACAAGAGGTCCCCGTCCCATGGGAGGAGGAGGGCATCTCCCAGTGAATGTTTCACCAGGCCAGCTCTGGAGCAGTAATGAGGACATTTCTTGTTCCGGTAAGTAGCAAAGAGATCTGTAGTCAGGGTTCCCCAGTGGGTGAAAATAACTTGAAGCACCTCTGAGTTCAGTTCCCATTCGTGGTCATGAGAAAAATTCCAACTGAGATTGTCAGTTGTCACGTTCTGTGTCCTGGGTACATAGATAGCTGAGATGAGCACATTGTGATGGATGCACCAATTCCAAAGTTTGAGTGCTTCCGTGCAGAGGGAGGGAGACCTGGCACCTCCTTGACGATTTATGTAAAACATATAGGTTGTTTTGTCCTTCATGACTTTCATAGAATCATAGAATATCAGGGTTGGAAGGGACCTCAGGAGGTCATCTAGTCCAACCCCCTGCTCAAAAGCAGGACCCATCCCCAATTAAATCATCCCAGCCAGGGCTTTGTCAAGCCTGACCTTAAAAACTTCTAAGGAAGGAGATTCCACCACCTCCCTAGGCAATGCATTCCAGTGTTTCACCACCCTCCTAGTGAAAAAGTTTTTCCTAATATCCAACCTAAACCTCCCCCACTGCAACTTGAGACCATTACTCCTTGTCCTGTCCTCTTCTACCACTGAGAATAGTCTAGATCCATCCTCTCTGGAACCACCTCTCAGGTAGTTGAAAGCAGCTATCAAATCCCCCCTCATTCTTCTCTTCTGCAGACTAAACAATCCCAGTTCCCTCAGCCTCTCCTCATAAGTCATGTGTTCCAGACCCCTAATCATTTTTGTTGCCCTTCGCTGGACTCTTTCCAATTTATCCACATCCTTCTTGTAGTGTGGGGCCCAAAACTGGACACAGTACTCCAGAGGAGGCCTCACCAATGTCAAATAGAGGGGGACGATCATGTCCCTCGATCTGCTCGCTATGCCCCTACTTATACATCCAAAATGCCATTGGCCTTCTTGGCAACAACAACTTTTGTGTGGATGTTCTTCATGAAATGCAAAAAGCATGCACATGCATTCCTGACAGCCCTTAGCTCCAAAAGATTGATATGGAGGGTCAGTTCTGGAATGGGTTACCTAGGGAGGTGGTGGAATCTCCTTCCTTAGAGGTTTTTAAGGTCAGGCTTGCAAAGCCCTGGCTGGGATGATTTAGTTGGGGTTGGTCCTGCTTTGAGCAGGGGGTTGGACTAGATGACCCTCTGAGGTCCCTTCCAAACTTGATATTCTGATTCTGCTCTGAACCTTGTGGTTGTGTATGTGAGCTCCCCAGCCTATTAAGGAGGGCATCTGTCCCAGGGTGGTGGATCTGTGTAGCAGGAGGAGAGCTCTCACTTGTACTGCATCAAGGTTGGCACTGATAAACTCCAGTCACCATACCGGTGTCAGAGTTTGACTCAGACTCACAATCTATCAGACCACTCTGTTTTATTAGCAAAGCTGCTCTGCTAATACATTTAGAAGTGAGCCCCCCGAGTGGGGCTTGTGTCTTTTAATTTATACAGTTTTTTGGAGAACAAGTTACAGAGAAGTTACAGACAAAAGAAGAAAAAGATTTTAGTCACCACCCTTCGAGATCCCTGAGACCAGTCACATATCTTCAATTACCTGCCACCCTTAACAATCTCCTTTAACAGCTTCCAGTTAACTTAACTAATTGCCCTTCACACCTTCCATTTGGATGCCTGCTTCTTAGACGTGCTGGCTCTATCTTGCTTCTCCATTCAAAAGCTAACTGTCCCTACATGTGCTCCCTCAGATACTTTGTAACATATTTTGGCATGCCCTCTCATATACAATGTATCCAGCATGTCCCCTTATACAACGTTATACTTATACAATCTTATACTTCCACAATCCCCCCTTTTGGTCAAGGCTACGCCCATGACCAATGACTTACTGGATTCCATACATCAATCGTTCTTTTTCATTACTTTCACTGGTGACATTTAACAACATTAGATTAGCACTCTGGTTAGGGGTAACCTGATGGATGGTGTGTCTTGTGCAGTTTTGGATACAACAAGAAATCAATTGAAAACACACAAAGCAGTGGATGTATTGTTTCTTGACTTTAGCAAAGCTTTTGACACTGTCTCCCACAGTATTCTTGTCAGCAAGTTAAAGAAGTACGGGCTGGATGAATGCACTATAAGGTGGGTAGAAAGCTGGCTAGATTGTCGGGCTCAACGGGTAGTGATCAATGGCTCCATGTCTAGTTGGCAGCTGGTGTCAAGTGGAGTGCCCCAGGGGTTGGTCCTGGGGCCGGTTTTGTTCAATATCTTCATAAATGATCTGGAGGATGATGTGGATTGCACTCTCAGCAAATTTGCGGATGATACTAAACTGGGAGGAGTGGTAGATACACTGGAGGGCAGGGATAGGATACAGAGGGACCTAGACAAATTGGAGGATTGGGCCAAAAGAAATCTGATGAGGTTCAATAAGGATAAGTGCAGGGTCCTGCACTTAGGACGGAAGAACTCAATGCTCAGCTACAGACTAGGGACCGAATGGCTCGGCAGCAGTTCTGCGGAAAAGGACCTAGGGGTGACAGTGGACGAGAAGCTGGATATGAGTCAACAGTGTGCCCTTGTTGCCAAGAAGGCCAATGGCATTTTGGGATGTATAAGTAGGGGCATAGCGAGCAGATCGAGACACGTGATCGTCCCCCTCTATTCGACATTGGTGAGGCCTCATCTGGAGTACTGTGTCCAGTTTTGGGCCCCACACTACAAGAAGGATGTGGATAAATTGGAAAGAGTCCAGTGAAGGGCAACAAAAATGATTAGGGGTCTGGAACACATGACTTATGAGGAGAGGCTGAGGGAACTGGGATTGTTTAGTCTGCGGAAGAGAAGAATGAGGGGGGATTTGATAGCTGCTTTCAACTACCTGAGAGGTGGTTCCAGAGAGGATGGTTCTAGACTATTCTCAGTGGTAGAAGAGGACAGGACAAGGAGTAATGGTCTCAAGTTGCAGTGTGGGAGGTTTAGGTTGGATATTAGGAAAAACTTTTTCACTAGGAGGGTGGTGAAACACTGGAATGCGTTGCCTAGGGAGGTGGTGGAATCTCCTTCCTTAGAAGTTTTTAAGGTCAGGCTTGACAAAGCCCTGGCTGGGATGATTTAATTGGGGATGGGTCCTGCTTTTGAGCAGGGGGTTGGACTAGATGACCTCCTGAGGTCCCTTCCAACCCTGATATTCTATGATTCTATGATTATTAGAATTCCAAATAGGATAGTCAGGATTCCTTGAAACAACCAGTTTCCCAGACTAGAGAAATTGAATAAGTTACTTATCCATTTCCACAAGGAACTTGGTTCTTCGTGGGGAAGGTATGCAATTTGCTCCAGATGGCTAGCACGATTTATTACCTCATTAGTATTATCAGGTATGTATACACAGCATTCTGTTCCAATTAGAGCACAGGTCCCTCCTTTGGCTGCCAGTATTATATCTAATGCCCGACGGTTTTGGAGGGCCACTTGTCGGACCGCTCCTGCTTCTTTGGCTAGAGCTTTTAAGCTCTCTCCTGTTTCATTGGCCATGATCTCAACCACCGCTTGTAACCTTAAAAGCCTTTTTGCATGGTGGATTACCCCCCCTACTGGGACTAAAGAAATGCCAACAGCTTCTTCCCAAGTTAGGGGGCTTATGTTATCCACATACCATTTAGCATCTGGCAAGTCCCTCCTTTTTCGCCTGAAATTACGGAGGCGATTTCGTGGGAGGGATTGAAGCACCCGGAATTGTGGGAAAAGCTGAGCAGGATAACAGATACCTGACCAATTTGCTGGTAACACAGTGTAAGCATTTTCCCCACAAATCCAATGATGTCCCATTAAAGCTGGGAAGGGTTGACTGCAACACTTTGACATGTAAGAATTTACGAAGGAGGAATAGTATCCCCCAAAGGGCACAGGATGATTTTCACTGGGAGAAGAGGTAGCATTCACATGACATTTGTAGATGGTGCTGTTTTTCTCAGGGAGGCTGTAGAGGGAGCAAGAGATTGAATCTTTGGTTTGATCCCAGGTTGAGAGGAAGTTTATCTTTCCATACCCGGTTTGCCATTCTCCAACCTTGTTTGAATAGTCCCATACACCATGGGACACGATGTATTGGAGACAGCTGCTCCTCCCTAGATTCAGCCCTGTCCCATTACACATCTAGCAATAGTGGCCCTTTCCTTTCACCACACTTATAAGTTTAGGAACATATGTTTTTCCCAGCCCCCAAGTGTCATTTTCCTTCCATGTCCTTTTAAGTGGATAGGGTTCTCCAGCAAGCTCTGAGGAATTCAAAGGGATTGCCATGGTGGAGATACTAGCTTGTGAGTGAGCTGGGATCTGGCTGCAGACCCAGCAATTAGAAATATTCAGGATCTGGGCTATCTGCACCTGTTGTTGGATGAAAGAATTGTCACTGTCACTCTGGATTCCCCAGACCCTCAGGACACAGTAGCTGAGGATTAAGCTTCTCAAAGGACACATGTTGGAAGCAGGACCCTTTCTGGTTCTGACAACCCCTTTTGAGGGAACCGCAGTCACGGTTTTACGTCCACCAGGCAGCAGGCGCTAGGCTCACTACTGCTTCTTGTTTGTTGGGTCCTGCTGCCTGCTTACCCTCTGCTTCTGGCAACCCTTACGAGAGCACAGATTGTAAGGTATTGCAGGCTGTTCCTCTTTGTCTTCTGGGGTTGAAGCTGGTTCTGCGTAGTCTTGCAGAGGTGCTTGGTCCCCTTTAGGTGGCGCTGGCTTACACTGTGAGGCGTGGATCCATGCAGCGATGCCGGATAATTTCACTGCTGTCTGGGTGGTGAGCAGTACCTGGTATGGACCCTTCCACCGGGGTTCCAAGGCGTGCTTCCGAAGGTGGTGCCGCAGGTAGACCCAATCACCAGGCTCAAGAGTGTGACAGGCAGCAAAGGTGGGTTCCCTCGGCCAAGCTGCTCGCACCTGCGAATGGAAGGAGCTCACAGCTTGCATTAACCCTTTGCAGTACTGGAAGGGCGTGCTGTGAGTTAGGTTTAGGTCTGGGGCTGGGGTAATAGTAGTCATTGTTCGCATAGGGCATCCCCTGATGATTTCAAATGGACTCAATTTGTGTCTCTGGGATGGGGATGACCGAATTTCCATAAGGGCCAGTGGTAAAGCAGCTGGCCAGTTTAACCCTGTGGAACTACAGATTTTTGCCAACTTATTTTTAAGCACACCATTTTGCCTTTCAACTGCCCCTGCACTCTGTGGATGGTAAGGGCAGTGCAACAGGTGGGTGACATGTAATACCTGGTTTAGATGTTGAACAATTTTTCCAGTAAAATG